CCGAGGGCACTACTGCAATACAGGAAATAAATCTGCCGAGCAGTTGCGATAAGTTGTGCAACGTTACCTGCCTCTTGGCTAAAACATGGCCCACCAGAGCCCTGATGTCCTGCTGCCTTTCGGGCAACAAAAAGACCTGGCCTTGTATGGAATCGATCAAAGCCCCAAGGTGAGTAATGCACGTCGTGGGCTCTTCTTCGGTTGATGGAGAAACCGTGAAGAGTGAGGATGCGGCATACAGTCTGTAGATCTCGTAAGGCCTGCTGATGTGAGGGAGACAGGAGCAATATATCGTCTAAGTAACACAACAGTCAAATCGGGACGAGATGAATCGTAGCCGCCACTGCTGCCAGCAACTTTGTGAAAGTACGTGGGGCCGATGACAGGCCGAACGGCATGGCCTGATATTGATAATGCTTGCTGGCAAAGGCAAATCTCAGAAACCTGCGGTGTTGCGGATGTATGGGCACATGTAGATATGCTTCCTGCAAATCTAGAGATGTCATTACATCTCCCTGTCTCACACAGGCCAATATTGTCCGGAGAGAATGTATCTTGAACCTCTTGTACAGAATGAATTTGTTGATGAACTTTAGGTTCAAGATGCCCCTCCAGCCCCCCGAGGACTTGGCGAGCAAAAAAAGAATTGAATAAACCCCAGTCCCTTCCTGTCCTGCTGGAACTGGTTCTATTGCTCCTATTTCTAACAAATGCTGAATTTCCTTGGACAGTTGCTGATGTTTCTCTAGCTGTCCGGCAATTGGACAGGACAGGAAGCGGTCGGGAGGGGTGGCCCTGAATTCTAAGGTGAGACCTAGCCTCACCGTCCAAAGAATCCAATCTTCGGACGTAGTAGTCTCCCACTGATATATGAAATGACTGAGGCATCCACCAATGGAAAGAGGGGGTTGTGAGTCACTTGCCTCACCTAATGGGTCTGGATCCTGCTCCCCAATAGGGTCTCCTTGAGGTAGGGTGATATCTACCTCTGTCCCGAAAGGACTGCCTATCTGCATTCCTGTCAAACCCTGGGGTTAAGGCTTAGTGAAGTAGGACCCACTGGGTCCTGAATCCTGTCGAAAGGGCTGTTTCTGAGGGTACAGGGTAAACCTGCGGTCTGGTCTCCTATAGGATACCGGAAGAACCTTCCATTTATCCTTCCCCTCTACAAGAATAGGTTCCAATGCTGCTCCAAACAGATCTGTTCCCTTATAGGGAGCAGAGGCCAATTTCCCTTTGGATTTTAAATCAGCTCACCAAGGGGGTAACCAGAGGAGTCTCCTAGATGTTACGTTAGAAGCTAACGCCCTAGCCGCAAATTTTGCAGCGTCTAGGGAAGCATCTGCTGAGTACTCGGCAGCAGCCACCATTTTATTGATATCCTGCTGGATACGTAAATCGTCTGGAGGAAGATGGTCACGCAACTGCCTCAGACAGATTAAATTAGCCCTATTAAAAAAAGGAGGCAGAGGTTGCTGCCTTCACTGCCCGAGCAGCTGCTTGGTGTGTCTTTCTAAACGAAACCTCCACTCGTCTATCCTCCATTCTTAACACTTCAGCAGCATCATTAGACAAAACAGTAGAGGAAGTCAAACTCACCACAGGTGGGTCCACCGTGGGAACAGCTAACAACCTGTCTAATGCTGGGTCCACACAATAAGTCCTCTTGTCGTGTCCTGTGGGAGCAGAAAAAGCCCCAGGGTGATCCCACTGCCTCTTAATGACCTCGGAAAATAATTCCGGGTATGGAATAAACTCCTAGTCAGGGGCGGGAACAGCAAAAAATTCGTTCTGAGGCACCTGCGACCCCTCTACCTGATCCCCTGAGATCGCTACTGACTCCATGTTAGTTGCTAATTTTGCCTTGCGTAACAATGTCTTGAAAACAGATGGACGAAAGAGAGTTGCAAAAGCCGGTTTATCTGGCAGCGCTCCCTCGTCTCCGAAAATTCCTGGTCCTCTGGGTCCCCTTCTGCCTGCCATGAATCCTTGCTACTGACTGATTCATGTTGGGCGACAAGTAAAGGTTGATGCCTCAACTGTATGGGGACATGAGACTGACAACCTGCCGCATTGGGTGGCATAGAACCCTGTAGATTAAGCCCCGAGGCCAAAGCTTGGGCTAAAGCATTTGTCAGTAAAGTCTGAAAATCAAAGGACTGGCTTTGTCCCTGCCCATCCCCCACGTGGAGCCCCGCTGCGGTCGGGGTAAATGTAGCCTCTGGTGCCAATCTGGCCCCTGGCTGTACTGCTTGTGATCCCCTCAGGGTCTCCATGACAGGACCTGAATCTTTCTCCTGACATCCCTGAAGCTCTAAGGCTGAAACAGAAGGAGCCCTGACAGCCACAGGCTGAAATAGGAGCCTGGATAGCTCAACAGACTAAAAGCCTGTTATTAACATTCAGCTGTCTGCAATTATTGCAAGTTCGAATCTCCCCAGGCTCAAGGTTGACTCAGCCTTCCATCCTTTCTAAGATAGGTAAATTGAGGACCCAGTTTGTGGGGGCAATAAGATGACTTTGTATAAAATATACAAAAGTATGAAAGCTATTGCTTAACGCATTGTAAGCCTCCCTGAGTCTCCGGAGAAGGGCGGCATATAAATCTAATTTTTTTTTAAAAAAATACAACTTCCCCTTCCCTAATTGGGCAGAAGCTGGCGCAGTAATAGGCTGGACCTGTTTCTTGGCCCGTTCAAACTGTCTCTCAAGGGCATTATGCCGTCTTTGGGCGTCTCTGTCCTCCATGGTAGCCCTAGGAGCCCCTTGGTCAGGTTCTCTCCTATTGGAAACAGAGGCAGAGCTCCTAGACCTGGATTTAGAGGTCTTTTTTGCTCTGGGGGGAGTCTGAGGCTGTTCATTGTCTGAGGAGAACTCTGGGTCAGCCATTATAGGAGTCTCTGCAAGATACTTGTGCCTCTGAAGAAAGAGCAGAATTGGTGCCCAAATCAACCATTAGCTCCTCCTCAGGAGGATACAAAATGGCGCAGAGCTCTTCCAGCGCTCTGCTGCTCTGCTGTAAAATACTTAAATAAGCCTCCTTCCAATCCTGCCACCCAGCAGCCTTCAAATCTCGGCGTGGGTTAAACCCTCTGATTACTGCCTCTCAGTGCAGTTAATAATCAGCGGTAAAGATGCTACCAATCTCCTCACGCTGCTGGGACCTCCAAAACTGGCATCAAAATGGCGCGAAACGATCCACTGGCTTGTCGCGCTTCTCTGCGGCCAGCCTCTCTTACCAAACTCCAATCCTCAGTGTGGCCAGGTCCCAAGGCTTCCAAAGTGCTAGAGCTAATTGCTCTTCAAGCGTTAGCGATCAGAAATTGCCTCAGAGTTTGTCTCGGAGGCCCGAGCAGTGACTCTGGAGCCACCTTTACACTAAAGGGAGCTCAAAATGGCGGCCGCAGTTATCCAGCGTACCGGGTGACCAACGAGCTCACCGATGGCTACTTATACGGCTCAACGCCGTTTGGAGTATCCCAGCCGGGATAAAACTCCACTTGCTGCTAAATTGAGGTGTGGGGGTGGTGACTTGGAGCCCCAGAGCCACTCACCCACCACGAGCAGCCTTAAGCAGCTCCAGCTGCTAATTCAGCCAGAAGCCTTGCTTTCTTCAGCTCCCACAAATAAAATAACAAAAGAAATAAAATAACAAAAATGATAAAATAATACAAGAATAAAGCCTCTCTAAACACTTAATTAACTAACTGCCAGAGCAGTTTGAAATAGGTCCCTACAAGAAGACTGAGAGAAAACAACTGAGGATCTAGGGGGCAAAGGAGGCGTGGCCTATGCAAATTTAAAGAAATATTAAGCTCAGTCCCTGACAAGCAGGCGAGGAAATCCCAGACATGAATTGACTAAGCACGCAACGGAAAAGAACATAACACAGTTCCACTGACATCTCCACGCTGCCAAATCCTCATCAGCTGAGCAACAGTACCTAGATAGTAGTCAAACCAGTGCCAAACAGCTATTGTTGTTCCTGTTCTGTTACTGGTGCCGCTGCTGCTTTGGTGATCCTAGCAGCTTCAACTTTCCAATCAACTCATAGACTACTCCAGAAGATCCACGTTTCATCAATTCTCATAGCCACAAAGTGATGAAATATCATCCCAACTCAGTGATAACTCAGCTGTGATATCAGACTTTCCTCTCCTGTACCATCACTTTCACAAACTTTTATTAACATGCTGCAAAACTAATCATTTGTGTGAGTGCACATATCACCTCAGTGCCAATTTTTTTTTTAAAAAAGGTGCCTGACTTTTTTAAAAAAATGCCTATCTTCCCTTCTGTATATTTTGTAATTATTATCACTGTTGATAAGTCACGATGTCATTCACACATTATGCTAAATCCAAGATACATGATAAGCATCTGTATAGGTTGCAACTAAATTCTAATTTTTAAAGTATTAGAAACAGAATATTCTGGCTCTGCTTTGAGTTCAATCATCAATCTTTCTTTGGGCTTAATTTTCAATTAGCTGTCCTTATATTTACAGTGGAAATATGCCTTAGTCATAATTAAATATAGTTCGCTAGAGGTCAACTTACATTTTAAATATTCAAAACGTCTTTGAATGCAAATAGTCTGATCTTGCATCAGATGTACCTGGAATAATTTCTTAGGGCATCTAATAAAAAGCCAGGACAGCTTATGTAAAGTAAAGATGCGAGAAACAGTGAATTCCTTGACTAAAACAGCAGGGTCTAAACTTATAATAAAATGTTTTACTTATTGTTTACTTAATCTTGTGAACCAAAATGACAACATCTGGCTAGAAACTGGAAGACCATAATTTCTAGTCCCGCCTTAGGCACAAAGCTATCTGGGTGATCTTGGGCTAATCACTTTCTCTCAGTTCAAGGAAGGAAGCTATGGCAAACCACTTCTGAAAAATCTTGCCAAGAAAACTGCAGCACTTATCCAGGCAGTCTTCAAGAAAGAATTAAGGAGGAAAAATTGAAATAGTAGTCCTTAGCTTATATACTTACTTTTTTTCTGTAAGATCTAGGCCACTGTTGTCTATTCCCTCTATTTTTACATTCTTCTGTCCACAGATATTTCCGTAACTATCATATCCTGAAACCAATCTTGCAGCTGCTCCAGTAGCTATTGAAAAGCCACAAATAAAACCCTGGAAGAAATAAATTGAGAAAGCTTTCAGTGCCATGCTCTAAGAGAAATGCCATTTTCAAAACTATGTCTTTCTGTTAGGTTGCCATACAAAACTTCATTCCCTTTTCTATTCCAATTTCATTCTCTTTCCTTTGAAATACAATAATTTTTCTAAAAGTAAAGGCATGATTGCCCAAGAGAAAATAGGAAAATCAGATGTGTACATCATGATATGTATGACATGCATGTTGTAAAATTAGCATCCAAGACAAATTCATGCATTAGAACCATAGATATAATGGATTTATAAGTCCAGGATATCATGTCTTTATTATGGCCTTGAAATTGTTTTTGAATCAAAGTGCTATACAGAAGCTCAGATGGCAACACTGACTAAAAATGTTTGATTAATCACATTTATGAGTCTGATCCAAACCTTTATTGTTGATAAGGATCTGACCATTTTTATCTATACTCTAAGCGATTCTACGCTGGAATAGAATTCATTTGAGATCTTTCAATTAAAAGACCACAGCAGAATATATCTGAAAGAAATAGGGCTGTTAGTTCATGCTACAGTAACTTAGATTGGGGCTACCAATTTATTCTTAATTTATTTAGTTATTTATTTTGCAAGACTGCCTGCTAGCTATGTGATTCGGGGTGGTGAACATATTGTGCTGAAACAATAGCAAAATCACCAACAAAAACTAAAACACAGGAGTGTTTTGTTGGTGATTTTGCTGTTGTTTTAATATGCAGCGTATATATCATAAAAGTGGCCCGGCACCTATTTGATCTCAGAGGAGATGCTAAAGCAGTTATAGTAACAAAAGGGATGCTATTCTCTGCATAAGATGACACTTAACAAAAGCGATCCGAAGCTGTCTCCTCTGTTGGTCCTCATGGGATGGCCAGAAATAATTAGAGACACAGAGTCTACAGAAAGTAAATCTTAAACTCAAATACTAACATACAGATAAAATATACTGCTCAAAAAAATAAAGGGAACACAAGCAGAAGACATCCAAGATCTGAATGAATGGAATAGCCTTATTAAATACTTTGTTCTTTACATGCAGTAGTTTATACACTGCTCAAACAACTAAAAGGAACACAAAACTACTGTATGTAACGAACAAAGTATTTAATAAGGCTATTTCATTCATTCAGATCTCGGATGTCTTCTGCTTGTGTTCCCTTTATTTTTTTGAGCAGTGTATATTAATCTCACCAATGTGCTGAAAAGTGTCAATTTAATATTTTAACTTGGCTGCTTAATACAGCACATATATAAAAATAAATGAATCTTCTGACAAGTTGTGAAATCATCATCCAGTTCCTGGGGGGAAGAAAAAAATGTTTCTTTAGATATGTCTTTTGTTACATACCATGCCAATGCAAAATAGAATGAACAGCAAAAGCCATGGGATATCTGTGCAGCTGCGATCCTCCAGAGGCTTCCACTCTCGTTTGGAACTCTGTAAGTTTGGAATTGAGACAGGGGAAGAAAAAGAAATATGAAGATTTTTTTTTATTTTTGTATTTTAATGGTTATGAAAATCTGGAACAAAACATGAATAAAATACTTTGGCCACTGTGAATACAAATGATTACTATAGATTACTGAAGACTTCCCACTGTTTTGGTTCTAGCTCTGCTAGGTTTCATTAATTAAAAGTACTTAGATATTATATTTTTATTTATTTATTATATACAATACAATAATGAATGCAAATGGTTCAAGTCTCAAAAAGATAACCATTCCATTTGCACCCTAGGTGAATCCCCGAAAATTCATTAAAATCTGTCAACCAATCAATAGCTGAATTAGAATTAATATTCAATTCAACCACTCCAGACTTCTTTAGCTTTCTGCCCCAAGTTATAAACATGTAGAAGTACTTTTAAGAGACTTTCATGTCCATGATCATCTGTGTTCTATTATTCATGTATACATATACATTGAACTCTCCGTAAGATATCAAAGAACCACATAAACTGAACACAGCTTCCTAATCGTCAAATGTCATAAAAGTACTGAATATATTTTCAAGACTTTTCTACAATAAACAAAATTTACTTATTTAACCTTTCCATGTTTTGTATAAAAACAAAAGGAAAGAAAAAACCAAGTTTCTTCTTCAATCACAGAGGTGATCAATGTCTATTTATGCCACAGGATTATTATTTTTTTTTACTGTTTTCCAAGTGGAAATTGGATGATCATTATTTAAAATCTATTTTAATCTGATCCAAATCATGTAATGCTATACAAATCATGTGATTCATCTATTAAAATTGGCCCTGGTGAAATCCAGTAACAACCTATTAGCTAAGTCTGCAGTGGCATTCATTCTGTTAAATCCTAATAAGAGTTTTAGCTTACTATATTTATGAATATAGCCATAGTGGTTTGTAAACCAAGTGTATTGTGGACCGGGGCGGGGGCGGGGGGGCATTTGGAAATAGATGGATTTATTTATAAATAAATTAGATGTTTATGTCAGCATATGTCAACATATGTCTTACATATGTTATAGAAGTAGTATGTGCTGAAATCATGACATACAGTCAAAAGGAACAGGCAGTTATGATGTTTTGAAGAGTACAAATAGTCCTCGACTTATAACCATTCATTTAGTGACTGTTTGAAGTTACAACAGCACTGAAAAAAGTGATTTATGACAATTTTTCACACTTACAATTGTGGCATCCCCATAGTCTTGTGATCAAAATTTGGGCACTTATCAATTGGCATGTATTTATAAGAGTTGCACTGTCCTGGGTCATGTGACCATCGTTTGTAACCTTCCCAGCTGGCTTTTCACAAGGAAGTCAATGGGGGAAGCCAGATTCACTTAATAACTGCATGGCTCACATAACAACTGCAGTGATTCGTTTAATAACTTGGGAAAAATGATTATTAAAATGAAGCAAAACAACTAACTTAACAACTGTCTTGCTTAATAATAGAAATGTTGGGCTCCATTATGGTCCATCCACTTTGTCACAGAATTCTTGATCTGAGCATTATGGAATCTAACAAAGGGAAATGGTTCCAATTCTAACTGTTCCCACCATTTCCAATGTTCTGTTTATTTATGCAAAATGACCCTACTCATGCATAAGAAGATAGTTATCAACAAGTTCAAATTTGTAGAACAAGAATGAGCTACAAAATAGCTTACAATATGAGGCTGAATACTGGCATGGGAAGAATTAGGAAAAGAAATAGTTTTTAGAATTAAAATTCCTATTGTAGAAGCAGCTCCTCTAAGACTGTAATATATTAGCATTCTTTACTTGTATTTTATTACTTCTCTATCACTGTAGTCTCTGTTGTTCTGCTCAATGTCAAGATCTTAATATTGTTAAGTCTTAAACGGGGAGGACAAAAACCAGATATTTTCAACACCTGGCTACTGCCTGAAGAAGTCCCTATAGTTTTCTTGGCAAAGTTCCCCCCCCCGGAAAAAAAACTCTTGCCTCCTTCATAGGATAAATGTGTGTGACACTGGCCTAAGGTCACCCAATTGACTTTCTGCCTAAAGAGGGACTAGAACTCAAAAGTCACCCAGGTTTTAGCCTGATACATTAAATCCTGCACCAAGCTGGCTCTCTTGATATAAATATGTAAACTTCTTTTTTGTACTGCATTCCACTGCAAACGCTATCATGATAAGTTTTTTTTAAAAAAAGAGTTGAAAAATGGACAAGAATCCAAGAAGCTAAGTGATAAGTCCAATCAGTACAGCAGCTTTATTATGATTAGTTAATAGACAATGGCATGTTCAAAAAAAAGGGGGGGATTAAAAATAAAATAAAAACAATTCATACTATCTTCACCTAGAATTTCAATGTTGTATATCACATTATATTCATAGCCATCTTTGTGATTAAACCTATAGATAATACTTCTCTTCCAATCTATTTAACCAACTTTTTCTTTAAGACACTAAGGAACTGAAATGAAATCATGTATGTGATAAGCATGTAAAATACTTTTACTCTTATAATTATGCAAACCGAAGTACCTTTAACATTTCATTTATGAGCATCACATAGTTTTAATCCAAATGTTATTATTACTTGCTCTGCAGTCTGGCAGTAGCTCATTTTGCCCCATTACTACTGAAGCACCATAAAAACGGCAGCTGACAACCCTGGCCTGCAGCCCAAATGAATTTCCGCCTTCCCACTCTGCATAAAAACATGAATAAGCATGATAGTTTCCCCAACTAGTTGTCATAGTGTAACTATTTTCTGTTAAAGCACTATTACTAAAATATGCAAACTGTTGTAGTCTTATTCACTAAAATGTCAAATACAAAAAACATTTAATTTGATACAAATATACTCAGTAACTACTGCACATGTTTATACTTGCAGCTTCTTCAATGTTTTCTGTTTGATTAATCTTTCATCCCAAGGACCACATTCATCTGTACATAAATTGGGGGGGGGGATGTCAGTTCTAGCCAGGACAATTGTTCTAACTCTCTCATTCATGCTCCCTTGTTATTATCTCCTTATCTTTTTCTTCACATTCCCTCCCACTCCCTACTTCTATGTAAGAAGCAGAGTGAATTGGGGATGCAGGAATAGATTACTTTAGCCTTTATTTCCAAAACATGAAAGAGAATCTAATCAAGTTAACAGTATAAATAGTGACAAAAACCAAAAAAGGCCAAAGACCAGGAAAATCTCAAGCTAACTAATTTTATTTGCTTGTTTGTTTACAACATTGGCATCTACCAACTGGTACCTAACATGAAAAGTATTAAAAATTTCAGAACCTGAGAATATCTTTTGAGACAAAAATAAATAGAGTTCAGGGTTTTTTTTTTTACATACATTATCTGCTGCTCTGCCCAAATCCGTAACTTCAGAAATGCAATTTAGAATTGGAGTGAGCTAAGAATTTTTTAAAGTTCCTAATCCTGTCGAATAGTTGAGAAAAAGCAAGTTAAAAAGAAAGCGAGAAACCTGTGCTGATATACTCTGAGCCGTTACATTTTTCTTTTATCCACCTTAAACATATGACAATTGAACAATGTATCTACTACACAGTTCACCTTTCACTACTAGAAGAATGTTCATATTAGCAGCATCCACAAGGTGTTGGTGATAAAAATCAAGATGGTGGCTGCAACAGCAGGACTGAAGCTTTGCCCTTTTCTACATGCAAACGAAGTTGAATGTGCAAAAGCAGTGTGGCTTTGATCATTCAACTACAACTTCTGTCTTGAATTTTTTGACTTAGCTGGAAACCCTGTCTCAGATCACGTGACAAAATTACAGATGTGACAAAAACCATGCCTATCTTCGTTGTTTTTCTTTTAGAATTTTCTTTGTACTCGCCCATTTATTTCTGTCTAAAACTTGTTATTTGCAAGAATTTTTAAACCTGACAGTTCTTAAATGTCTGACAGTTTTCTTTATTCCAAACACATTTTTACTTCTCTTTTCTTCAGTTATAAAAGTTCAATATGAATTACTGCAATTTCTGCCACTGGATTTACAACAATTTTACTTCTTAGTAATTTTCAATAAATTAGGATGAATTCCTATGTTCAAAATAAAAAGTTTTATTTCTCTTTTCAGCTCAGGTGCCTACTGTTATGACAGCTCTGCATATTGCAATATATAGTACAGAGAATGGCACCATATTTTTACTTTTATTTTTAATCATTTTCCTTTGATAGAAACCTTTAGATTCTGCTGTGCTACTGTATGGGAAATATTATTGACAAAACAAATTCATATAACATTTTATTATAAAACATCATGCCATCAAAGAATTACAATATCATATTTATCCAAAATGAAGCGGACGTTTTTACCCTATAATTATATTTTGAGTAAGAGATTGCTTTATAGTCAGGAAATAAAAGCACTGTGGAAGATAGAGATACTTATTTACAAATAATGCAAGCAAGTGGCTAGAACGGAAACACAAAAAAGAAGACAAGCACTATGCTATAGTTTTTTTTTCATTTAAAGATTAGAGAGATTAAATAGAAATTTATTTCTGTCTGAATGAAAAGTTACAGAAAAATCTAAGTGCAATCAGTCCATATATTTATTTTCTTTGGGACATACTATACAGTATAAATGTGCAATCTGTAGTTCTATGTAGGAGAAAATATGGCGTTCTTTTGAGGAAGTAAAACAGAGGAAAACATCCCTCTTCCCTAATTACTTTCCCAGGGAATTAAAAATAATAAAACTGTCAGATCAGCCATAAAAGATAGAAAGCCAAGGAATGATGATAAACCTAGAAGATACTAGGAGCAGGCCTATGCTCTGGGAACCAAGGAAAGTTTAAGATAAACTTCTTAAAATGAGCCTCTAGAGCCTAGAAAGTAACTACTGTATGTTCATAGAATGTTGTCTTTGTTCTCTCAATAAACCATTGTCTTTGTAGTACTGCCCCCATTATATCATAGAATCCACCTCCTAGCTGACCTCACTGACT